CTGTTTCATATTCAGTGTTTAAAATGTTCACACACTTGCAATCGTTGCGATCCGTCGCGTAAATCGCGCGACTCGCGAAAATCGCGAAAATCAGCGAAACATGCGACGGAACGCGGACTCTGACTCAGGCTAAGACTAGCTGTTTGTGTATGTGTCGGAAATTCATAACACGCACACACAGCAATGGTGAGATCTTGGTTCTTACATATGGTATAGGAAACTTAGCGGGGGCATAGATGGTGGGTGATCGAAATGGCATCAAATGATAAGGGCTGATGAGTAGCATTCAAGGATGAATCTTATCAAATGCTGTTCGCGATGACAGTGGAACTGTTGACTTTTCTAAGAACTCTGACGGGTTGGACACGGATGATGGGGAGATGGAAAGTGATAAAGACTGATATGAGCTGATAATCTCAGCTCGAACGCGTGACAAGATCGGTCGCACTTCTAGAAATTAGGATATATCGCTCGCTCGCAATAAACGGCTAAGGTGACAGGACATTGATAATGGGTGATAGGTAATGAGCGAAGGCATTCATTAAAGTCATGTGACAACATCCGCTACACGAATACAATCAGTCCGGCTAAACTAGGTGCTCAGGAAATAAACACTTTTTATTCCTGATCCAATATCAAGAGAAGCATGATTCATTGAACCGCTAGATGCTTGGATTTCCTAATAAAGGTGCACGTCCATCAGACCAGTTCGCAGGCTACACTGGCTGCATTCAATGCAAATTGTGGATGTTTACAGAATTATGATGAGTATCAGATTATTGTTGGCTCCGCAGGCTATCATGCGCTTCACTGCGGGATAGAAATGAAAGATAAGATGTAAAACGCTCTGAACTTCGACGAGAGACAATACTGAGTAAAAGTTCACTGACTGAAGTATAACTATATTAAAATGAAGAGATGAGAAAAAGAAACACTTCCATCGCCTGGCGCAACCCTGTGGCAGATTTTGCAGAGATTTCGTATTCAATTAAAAATCTCTTTGAAGAACAAAGTACGCAAGGTGTAGTTTGTATCTCACTATTTTTATTGAGGATTGAATGCAATAGACCCCTTTGTAATAGTATATGAGGTAGCGTTCATTTGAAATCGATTGCAAAGTATGAAAGTTTGACGGACAGATCGTGGCGTTGCGTAACCCGTCCCTATGTGGTAATGTTAAACTTCAACAACTAGACTAATAAAGCTAATGGTAAGTATTGAATTTTGAATGTGCTTCTATGTGGATGGCCCTTCGCGAAGCTTCAAACCTAACCTGAAACGATAATCGTAGCTTTCCAAGTGCACTCGAAGATTCCATGAGGACCTAGTAGCGCCATTCACAGCCTCGCCTTACAGTGACTAGCCCACTGGAGATTCCCCAAGGCTACACTTGTACAGTGCCAATTGCTCCTCGCTTTAACCCTATACTATGTATTCGATATGGTTCCTCTTTTAACCCATAATATCCAGAGCTTCGTGAGACTATCGAACTTCACATGTTCACTCCTCTTCCTCGGATTTCGATTCTATGCAATTTAACTACTATTACTAGGAACCTGTACTACTGAATTAATAAATAGGTGATTAGGAATTGCTAGACAAAGCGTTGGTTAAGAAATTATCGCATTCAAAAATGTCGTCACAGCTGTACAGCTGTTATCTTAAATAGAATTTCAAGGGAATAAGGGTAAAGCAGTCGCTGTTGATCGACCCATTTTTGGAATGAGCCATACATCCAGAATCTCAGGGGATTTTAAAACTTCGGTATAAACTGTAACTGGCGGGGACCAGCGGATGTGAAAGCTACTGTTTGTGTCCTCGTAGAAGACACCGGGGGTCTTATCCAGTAAGGGGGCATGTGGTGCGACAGTTCATATTGCATGAAGAAATCCACTTTTTTCAGGGGAGGGAAGCTCCGGGGGGTGTAAAAGCTTAAGCGAAATGGTTCACGCACCCGGGGTTCCCTCCCCTTGCAAAAAATTGGAATTTCTGTAGCCATCCTAGAGAGCAGCGAGACAATTTTACTCAGAAGAAAAGGAACTGAAAGAATGTTCTCTGTATGGTTGCATGTGACTGATCATGAGAATTCCCAACTCCGAAACTGCGTTAACCAACCTCCACAGCCTAAACATTTAAATGCTTTGCAGAACAATTGGAATTGAAGAGCTGATGAGATTGCAACTAGAAAACTAAGTTTTTGACTACCCGTTAAGCCCACACCGACAAATTCGTTAACGAGTATTCCTTAACAACCTTTACGTTTTTCTGAGCAAGTCCCATCAACATATTCTGTAAGGAGTCTAAAAGAGAAGAGACAAGAGACAATTCTTTCCCTATTGATACAAGTCTTCATATATCGCTCTAACCAATGAATCTGTTTCCAGAAGCTTTTGAAAAGACTGGAGTTCAAGGGAGAGAAAGTCACATCAGAATGTCCATTGCTAGCTGATTTCCTGAGGAAAGGATGATACTTCCAGATGTTCGGAATAGGAAGAAACCTGCGCGCAAAATGATACTGGCGTAATGGCGAGTACTTCTTGGCACCACATGAGTTCTTGGAAAGTAAAATACGATCTCAGTAATAAAGAACCCATCAGAAATGGATGCGAGAGCAAGTTGGTCAAGAAGCGTTCCGATCGAGAAGGACCGCTGCCGCACGTCGATGACCGGAAGCCGTTGGAAAATTGCGCGCTCTACTGAGCGCCGTCGATCGATTGCTTACATCCAAACGCCGTTCCAAAAAGGGAATTTCCCAGGTACAGCTTATAGCTATTTGTGTTTGTAGGCGCACAAGGATCAACTAATTCCCTTCGAGCTCCCTTCTTAATTCGGAACGTGGAGCCCCATTAGAGATCCCCGAAGTTCTCCAGTATCGTAAACCGCGCTCTGGCGCTGGCCATTTAAAAGTCTGCGAGTGTTTCAATCCTTCGTAGCACTTCCTTCCAATGAAATGTGCCTATTCTTTCGAGAAAAAAACAGCTTGGTTCGGTGGGAGTCAATCTAAAAGTTTTGCAAAAGGATTCGTTGTGGGACCAGTCACGTCATCGCACCTTGAAACCTTCATACCTGCGTAGATCGCAGTATTGCTTATATTGATGTTTACCGCTCGTTTGTTTTTAATATTTGCTATTTAGCACTGAAGTTATAAATTGAACCATCAGTATGTCCGTTTTATAGGCCGAACGGCATGGGTGAAGCAAAACGGCTGAGATTTTAGGACCATAGTACTGCGTTGTGCTTTTTACCCCATTGATAAGCACTTCCTCGAAGGTATCAGCTCTGTGTTCGGCATAGCATTTTTAAGCATTTCTGTTTCGAGCTCCGGGCGTGGCGTTTGCATAGTCAGTCTTGTTTCGGAGTAGCCCCGATGCACTTGCTTGCTTGCTTGGTTCGCTTCAGAAATTTTCCACGACTGCCCAGGGTGTGGTTCACTAGGACAGAAAGCGACTTTTTCGCGTTTCGCAGCGCGAAACATTTTCGCTGCGGGAACCTCAGGTCCACTGATGATCAGTGGACCTGAGGTTCCCGCAGCGAAAATGTTTCGCGCTGCGAAACGCGAAAATCGCTTTCTGTCCTAGTGAACCACACCCGAATGCCCATCGCACATTGGAGTTGTTGTGATTAGGGTATAGAGGGTTGGGAAGTTGACCCGATCGAGAAAGTACGAAGTTACTCGCTGCGCTAAAGTGAGAATACGACTGCTCACAGTTTTTGGGCATTCACTCATTTCGGAGCCCCAATTCTATTTACTCAAATTTCGCAAAACTGGAAACTCCGAATAGTTTTCTCCATACGGATTTGATTTGTCGCCCATATGTCGCTATTGTCTCACTGACGAAAGCTGGTGTGGTTCTAGATCATGAGACAACCAAATACTCTCCGCAAAATGAGCTTGATTGTTGCTGTGGACTCAAAATATGGTATCGGGAAAAACAATGCATTACCATGGATGCTACGGAAAGACATGAAGTTTTTTGTCGAAAACACATCGAAAACGGTGGATCCAGCAAAGGTCGGTTGTGGTCTCGAATATTGGGTTGGAGCATAATATCGTATAGTGTTTTTTTTTCGAGCGCATAAATTCAATGCAAGTATCACCCGAAAAACCTATATTGTTTGAAGGTAGCCTTTCCGCTCTACAAACCATAGTTGTCGTTTTCTTCAAATTGTAGCTGAACTCAGGTATAGAGCTTAGAAGTTGGAAAATCCAGACGGCGAAAACTGTCTTCGACAGCTGCTGTTCTTCGGTTTTAATAAGGAAAAAACGCCAAAGATCTTTTGAATCCATTGTTCTGATCGAACCTTGCTTTAATCGATCCTATATTTTTCGCTCAATTTAAAACCACCCTCATATCATACAAACTTGAGAATAATAGGGACTCCGAAAACGAGAAAACGAGTTCAATAAATTTTTTTAAAATTCTTTATCCGATCTCCTGCGAAATGTAATCAGAGTTGTAAATATTGACGAAGTGAACATCACTGATTAGTTCTATGTTTTTATTTTTTTTTCTTCAAATGTTTGTGAATAAATGAAAAACGCAAGCGCTATCGCATATATGTTCCAATCAATACTGAGTTCTTTTTCATGTCGAAAGCAAAGTTCTTCTTGAGGCACTTTTTATGGCTTTATAGCGCTACTGGAAGCATCAGCCCAAAGATCTCTGGGTGCTTCTTGGTTGATCAAAAATGCACTGCACGCAATGTTAAGGATGCTCTTGTAAAGATGAGCGTACGTCATAAAGTTCGTTTAAGGTAAACGCCGTCATTATGGGTCGCAAATGTTGGGAAAGCATCCCTAAGAAATTCCGCCCTTTGAAAGACCGTCTAAATGTCGTGATCACGCGAACCCTCCCGGAGTACAGAGATGATAACCTCATTATTAGGTAAGGCTCAATAATTTTTTTAGAGGTTTGTTGGTATAGTATTATGTTTGCCAGTAGCTTGTATGGGATTTGATGTGTTACATTTAGTAACAACTTTGATGACATTGTGAAGGAATTAATCGCTGGTCCACTGGCAGAGAAAGTCGAGAAGATCTGGAATATTGGAGGCGGAGAAATTTATAAAATGGCTCTAGAGAAGGACTACGTCAATGAAATATTGATCACTAAAATACAAAAAGAGTGAGGAATGACTTCAATTAATTTTTATGAAAAAGTAAAAATATTTTTTAATCTCTCCAGGTAATAGTTTTTCTCTACTTTTTTTTTTTCTAACACTAATAAACAGAAAAAATCTTTTGAAAATTCATTCGGTCGTTCTTAACTTCTTTTTGGATTTTATTATCGTTATTTTTTTTGAATGTAGCTTGCTTTTTTACAGCTTTGAAGCCGATATATTCTTGACTGGAGTCGAGTGGGATCGCTTCCAGGAGGTCGAGTCTGCGCGTTCTGAACTAATGACTGAAAATGGACTTGATTTTTCTTTCCATCGTTATTGTTATGTTGAACAATAGTACAACAGGAATCGCCCCGCTCAAGGGATTCGGGTTTCCGGTATAGCTGTGTCTTCATATTCATTGTTTTTTATAGCACGAGGCCACAGTTGACATCTACCTCTTTATTACTGCTCTTCATGATATTTTGGCCATATTGACAATGCCTCAAAACTTCATTTGCACTGTACGGGTTTCATGGTCTCAGCTAAGCAACTGTTCACTGGTTCACTCATGCCCTTCGAATAAATAATTCCAACACTTTGGTAGCCATTCAAGAACGGTTTTAGTCCGTTGTACCGTTCAGTGGTTTCGTTCACACGCTTACATGCTTGTGTTAATGCTAATTACCATTAGCATTAACACAAGCTTGTTTTTGTCTTATGTTGATGTTTGCAATAATTGCTATTTTTGCTATTTGCTGCTATTTTTACTTTTATCAGATGCCGAATAATCGCCGCAAGAAGAGTGGCGGTTCGAGTGCTCGTCGGGACTCTTCTACACAGAAAGAGTCGAGTACTGTGACCACCATACCTGAACCTACACCTGTCGACGATCGAGCGGCATCTGTTAACGGAATTGCCAGCGGTGATGATGCTCAGCCTCCAATGAATGGATGCGTTGCACGCAGTTCTGTCATGAACGGAAGCTTAGTAAGCACTGAACATTTTCGGTTGTTTTATACTAGCTTAAAAGGGGTTATACAGAGAACTGCTTTCAATGAATTTATTACTGGTGTAAATTCCTGGTCTTTTCTAGTTTCTGGTATTATGAATTTTTTTCTAGTATCAGTATTGGGTGGTATTGGGTCTCATAAGTCTGGCATAATGGAGTGAAAGGGATGTGGTACAGCAGTTCCTGTTGCGTAAAATACCCCCCTCCGTTTCCGAAAACTGGATGCGCGTCGAGTGCAAACCACACATCACAAGTTACGACGGGTTCGCGTACATCTGGTTTTGGTGCTAAGTGGGTTGGGGGGGGGGGGACCACGCGGCGGCGCGGCAGTCTGCTCGCCTGGCATGTTTGCGTACTTCGGGAAATCCGTGAGCCAGGGGGAGTGTAGGCAGTCTAGGGGGTGGGGGTGAGGGCAGTCACTTGACATGCGTGAAAAGCTGGAATGTTCGAGTTTACACTGTCTCGCTCGAGAGAGCCCAGGTGAGCAGAGTGCCGCGCCGCCGCGTGGTCCCCCCAACCCACTTAACGCCTGGTTTTTAATAGATCATGACGATAGCTCTTAGATGGTAAATGATAGTTGTAATTAGTGACAACTGATAGAATACAACTGCAACCGGCTAATCATTTCATTGGCAGAAAACATTTATTTTGTGGAGGCCGTCGTCACTTGTGGTGTGTGGTCTGCACTTGACGGCCTCTGGTTTTCGGAAACAGAGGGTAACTCCAATTTCTGACGTAGGAGGAAGCATCGTAATAGTTATGAAAGCGGAAGAGAGTTGCTCCACGCACGCGCAGATTTCCTTCTTTACAAAGTGAAAGTTACTATAGGCGACACGATCTATCGCACCAAGTGTTTCACCCCTTCTCCCTTATTATTGAGTAGAGCCGGTTTTATTAATGTTTATTGTGGCTGTTTCTTGAAGGGCTGAAATAGAGCTCTAGAGCTGATCCATAGTTCATACTTTTTTATTACCACTTTTCTCACAACAGAAATCCTCTGTTTTGCTTTAAGTACTATTCTTTTAGTTCGGTCATTCTTTCCAGTTTGGTTTGCACTCATAGCTTGAGGTAGATAAGTATTGACTTTGCGACTCTGCCATATTGCAATGGCATGGTCGATACGTATCTATTCCACCCTCGAAGTGCAAACCAAATTGCCGAGTATCATCAGTCCCTTAGTTTGAAGTGCTGGTGTTATATGTTATCTAAAGAATGGGGAGGAAGCGTAGATGTAGGCATTCATTGAAGCA